AATCTCCCAACCGGCCGTCCCCGTACACACCCAGCCCCGAAGAAGCGACGAAAAAGACGAAGAAGGAAGGGTACTAATACAATTTTCCACCGATCTCGATTTCCCGGAAGTGGCCAATCTTCCCAGCTTAGGACCCCTCGTTGCAACCGCGCAGAAAATCACATGTTACAGAAAGTGGTTCGTCTCACACCAGTTCACCACAGGCCCGATTCCTGCCAGGGAAAACCTCCAGCCCTCCCCCCCTTAGTCGGTTATCAGCTATGAGTTATGTGTTATGTGTATTGGAGTTGAATCCAGGACCTCCAAGTTGGGCTCTACCCACTGAGTTATCGAGGTCATTAGTCTGTAAGGGTGCTATCCCAGGCCCGGGGCAAGTACGTGGGGTGCAATCTACACCAACCAATTGTGCTCGGGGGAAATTGAGGGCTAACAAAGTCGAACCCACAGCCTGCCTGTTGCAACACCGGAGCGCTGTCCACTGAGCTACCTCAGGCACTATCGGCGGGGGGCAATGGGAGTTGAACCCACGACCTCCTGAGTGCCGCTTGAATGCCTTACCAACTGAGCTACACCCAGTTGGCCGAGAATAGTAGAATCCGCTGTGAATATTCTGCAATGTTTGTCTTTTCCTGGGGTCACTGTGACCTCCCCTCTGGGTTCGGCCAGTGATGCCGTCCCACTGGGGGAGCACAATAACATTGTTAAGGGACGCTGGGCCCGGTTCCCGGCCTGTACATAAAAATGTTCTTCTCATAAGAAAAAAAAGAAAACAAACCACCCTAGCCACTGTCATGACTGGTATATTCCGATGAACGTCAGCTTCTCTGACACATGAAGGATTCGGGCCAAGATTATACAGAACTCGAGTACTGGGGGGTCGGGGGGAAGGGGGGGAGAGGAGTAGTTTGCAGTTGCCTCAGATCCATCGCTTTTTATTTTTTTTTCCCCTGTCCTCAGATCCATTGTCAGAGGCCATACGGTAAGTCTCCACTGCGATGACAACTTCCAAGTACACTCTGACAGTAAAGTGAGTTTTGTATTTTATTATATTTTATTTTTCAAGGATCTAGGACCACCGACACTCTCACGGAGAGGATTTTTTCTGCCAAGTCCCACTCGTTCGGATTCTTCATTCGTGACCGTAGATTGCAGAGATAGACAGTCACAAATGAAGAATTCCGGGAAATGATTCCGGCAAGTGGGACTCAACCCCCCGAAACCAGCTTCCAGTGGCGGCTAGATACAATCCGATGATTCCGATCCCCCTCCCCCCCCCAAAAAAAAAAACACGAAAAGACAATCCGAGCGGGGCCATTGCGGGTACACGTGAGTGATCTGTTATAGTTCAGTGACATTGCGTGGGTGCCTTGTTCATGATGTTTTTCTGTTTTGTTTTGCTGTTTTGTTGTTCTGTTTTGTTTTTCCTTAATTTTAAAGCCCTCATCTGCAAGTGGCCTACTATTGGAGTTGATATGAGCATCTCCAAATAGTAGGCCGCCCTTCACAGACTGCTCCAATCTATTGCTAGGGGAAAACCGGGTGCAGCATCCCACCGGCAGGATAAGAGCAGATTGTAACAAGCAGAACAGCATTGAATACCCTCTTACAAGGGGATTTAACTATCTTTCTCACCAAGGGACTGGGCCATCACGGATCATCTGATCCCCCTAGCCTATTGAGAGACCTTCCCCTAAGCCCCCTCCAAACCTAACCTCCCAATAATAAAGTCAGCAGACTCCAGTCTATTTACTTCAGAATGAAGTTCACATAGTAATATTCAGAAAAAAAGAAAAGAAAAAAAAAGGAAGAAGAAGATAATATATTGTCCTCACCATGGAGTCGTGTGGCCCACTACTTCAATTATCAGATGTTGTAATCTACCTAAGCAAACAAATCGTCCTAGTTCAGTTTGCCAGACCTCTGGAGTAGTTGCAAAGTAGAGACGGCCTAGTTCCACTACTCGCCATCCGCCGGAATTCGTGGCGGATGGGTGGAGAGTGAAAAAATTGAGAATTGTGTGGAACTGGAGGCCTGCTTGCACTTACTCGCCACAATATTTCTTCTACAGAAAAGTTTTAAAAAATTGTCTGCCCGATCTCGACTCGTGAAGCCGTGCACTCTCCAGAAAGTTGTTTTGTGGAGAGGTCCGAGGACCACCCTCCACAAACCGCCGTGGACAGGCAGGGAAACCTAAAACAGTCGCCACAACTTGTGTCGAGCATCTGACATATTTTTGATTCGCCAAGTTTGGCGAGTAAGTGCAACCAGGCACCTACTCGCCAAACTTGGCGTAAGGAGAGTAGTGCAACCAGGCCCACATTGTGGGTTCGACTCCCGGCGGCCCTGACCCTCTTCTGCACAAGACCGGTTGGTATTGGTTTGACACCCTACGCACTTGTCCCCCACTGCAGTCAAGCATAAGGCTGCTTACAGTCAGTGTACTTGTCTTTTTCTGTTTTTTTTCTTTCTTTTTCTTTTTTTTTCCTTTTTTCTTTTCTTTTTTTTTTTGTTTTGAAAAGAGTTACTCGTGTCAAACGGGATCGAATATTATCATGACGATGGAGAGCACCCACTCACATAGGCATTGTTGATATTATTCCAATTTCCATCCGAGGGCTGCTCTTTTCCGGTATCTTCATATCATCCTAATTATCTCCTGGTCATCCCCCAGCCCCAAGACTTGCACAAAACCCTAGGTCAGTGTCCTGGGCTAGCAGCATACAGCTGGATTTCTAAATTTTAACAGGCGTCATTGTGGACGGGGAGGGAGGGTGAACTGATGAGGCGGGGAGCAAAGTGCAAATCGGTCCTCGCCTGGAAAGCAAGGGGGAAACCACTCCACAGGGAAATTCCTTCCCCCTACCCGACCACCACACGCCACTAGCCAACTCTTAATCTCGCCCACCCATCACCCCAAATCCCGCGTAACCGCATTACCCCCATCCAACACGACCCTCGTTCTCAGAATCCGACGCCGCCGGCCACAGCCTTAGGCTGCGAAGCGATGTCCTGTGGTAGTTCAAGCGTGGGGTTGCGGGCCTATCGTTCTTTGTGTAGTAAGGGAATTCAGGTTGCACGGGCCGCGTTCTTCGCGTGTTTAAACCAATACTCCTCGAACCCGGGATCTCTTAAAGCCTCGCTCTCAGTGACTCGAAAAGGGACCTGG